GGGGGGGGCGGTTGTTTTGCATATATCTACTGCTTATGCAAAAACATTTAAAAAAATAGAAAAGTTACCTAAAAGGTAATTACTTACCTCTGTTTCCACTGCTCACTCCCATCCGTAGATCTCAAGCTTTTCGAGCAGCTGAGCAGGATGATGGGACGGGCGCATACGCCGTACAGATCTTCAGTGCGGAGAAGAGGAGACACACAGTGGAGCTAAATGCATGCAGCTGGGAGCGTGCACGCTGGACAGACACCGTGGTACAGAAAGAGACAGGAGTCTGCGGTGGATCGAAGACCAGCACCAACGCTGGAGGGACTCCTGAATACAAGTGGAAGGAAGAAGATGATCGGATCAAGAGGCATAATTTAAGGTAAGTCCTTAAAGCAGCATGGCACGGGAGGAAAATTGTGATTTTAATGTTACTTTAACTATACAATGCAGCTCCAGACTAACAGTGCATGAACACACCAAATAAAAAAAGCTAATATGGCACCAGCTCAGATCTGTTTAAAAGCTGCACATGGGCAGGGCAATATACAAATGCTTCAGAAGGGGTCTGCAGCACACTTTCAAGCTAGCCAGCGAAAAGCAAACAACTAATCTGTTTAAATACTCAGAGGTTTTAGTTGCATGCTTTTATAACACTGCTGCATTAAAGCACCTCTAATAAGTGTGGTCCCTAACTCTACACTATCTGAGTTTCCCAATTGTATGATAAGTAGTATGCAAAGCATATGCAAACGTCGCCAAAAGAGCCGGGTGCCAAGGATGATGTAAATCATGTGCTTGAAAGTTATGGTAAGAGCCCAAATGCTTATGTCCACTTTAAGACAATGTTGTGTATGTCTGTTAGCATGTTGTGTATACAGAAATAGGTGTCCTTCATGGGATTGTAGAGACCATTATCACCCAACATACCACAATAATAAACCTAAATAAAAAAATAAACACAAAACAAAGGTTTTTGGAAAACTATAGATTGCGACCTCTTTATTGGGTTTAAATGTTAACAATGAAATAGACTTTACCCTTTATTACCAAACAGAACCATTGTTATCCATTGGAAGACCACCATGCGTAGTCATCAAGGCTTAAAGGAGAACTATGGGGTCAGTTTTTTCCCCATAGTTCTCCTTAGGGTAACGGGAGGACACAAACTAGCGTCCTCCCGTTACCCTAAGCTCAGTATACCGCGAGCTACAGCTCGCGGTATACTGAGACGCCGCAGCCGGAGCGGATCCCGACCTCGACGTCGAGATCCGCCCAGCTGCGTGAGTGACAGCTGGCTCTGCCTATCTAGAGGCAGAGCCAGCTGTACCCGCCCCCTCCCCCGTCCGTTCCGCCAGTCAGCACTGGCAGATCGGAGCGGGGAGAGGGCAATCCAGCCCCTCCCCCTGTCACGGCAGAGAGCCATGACAGGATCGAGAGGTGAGCGAACCCGGTATGTGTTCGCTCACCTCCCGATCTACTGAGCCGATCTACAGACCTTTATTTGAATAGAATTCATTTTTAAAAGCACATGGGAGGTGATAGGGGCGACAATCAGTCCAGATCTCCATTTGGGGCTCCTGTAGGCACAAATGCTAATTTGTTTAGCCTGAGCCGGTGCCCCTTACCTTCTGTGGGACCCACCGGCATTCACATATGCAGAGAAGGACCCCGGCATCGCATATGGCTGCCCTAAACGCCTGTCAGCATCAGACAAGTGTTTTACAGGGCAGCCTTATGCAGCACTGGGATCCTTCCCCTGTATTCATGGAACCCAGAGGCTCCTATAGGTACCACAGGTCTTAGAGCAGGAGGGTGCATTTTGTGCAGAATGCACCCTCCTTGCTCTTGCCTGTGTTGTATCTTGATATAGTAGGTACCTGCACGGCGCCCCTCTATGGCGGGCGCCTGTAGGCACGTGCCTACTCTGCCTAATGCTAATACGCCCCTGGAGACAATCCCATAGGGCCATATTCCTAATTTTGTTTTCATGGCCCGAACATTTTCATATATTATACTGTGATTATTAGTAGACATGTGCACCGGCAAAAAAAATATTTTGTTTTGATTCGGATTTTGGGTTATTTCGTTTTTCGGGATTTGGTCCAAAAGTCAATTAGTTTTCGGATCCAGAGGAAACTCGTTAATAGTAGTCTGTACGAATTTTCGGTTCACATTACCAGGGCATGTGGCCTGGTAAGGCGCAGGGGGGGGCCTCGATCGTCCCCCCCCTTTCCTGCCCTGCCAGGCCTGGGCTCGGATCAAGGGTCTGGTAGGATCCCGTTTTTTTTTTTTTAACGGGGGGGGGGGGGTCCCTGCTAACATTCCTACCAGACCTAAAGGGTCTGGTTTCAGTCAGGGGGGAACCTCACGCTTTTTGTTTTCCTCTTCTGCAGACTGTAAAAAAAATGTTATAATTTTGTTTTCTCAAATGTCACTTTGCTGCAACGACCGAACGAAACAAAAGCAAAACCAATTTTGGAATCGGAAATTCGGATTCGTTTGCATTCGTTTTAGCTGTAATTCGGAATTCGGATACATCCGAATCTCCAAAATTCCGTCTGAATTTCGATTCGAAATGAATTTGCACATGCCTAATTATTAGTTCTGCCACCAAGTGGTGATGTGCCTGATGCTTGTATGGTGTAATGTTCTTCCTAGCGAAACTACATGATCATGATGTCATTTTCTATATATTGTATATCTAGCTCCTGGCTTCTTCCTAGTGAGACACAAGAAGCTCCTGTGCTGCAGCATCTTCTTGTGAAATTTGAAGTGCTTACCATTCCCCGGGATCTCGTCAACAAGATAATGTTAACCCCTGTACCATAGAAGCCAGAGGAAAGGCAAATATAATACAATTTTTTTAATCCCTTCAGGTTTTTTAAATTATTATGCTGGCATTTAGGAAGGGATCAGGGGCACCTAAAAAGTGGACCTTGCACTGTTTTAACAACTGAAAAGAGCTTTTTTTTATGTACTATAAGAATCTGATAATAAAACCAGAAGTATATGTTTATATTACCCTTCCACAAATCCCTGCACAGCAAAAATCTGATGTAGTATTGGAGGCTATATACCAGGAGCCATTTAGTGCT